TATACAGTATTTTAACCACAAATAAGAGCTGCAGTAATAGAAATTCAGTGGGGATTTTTGTTTGGCTAGGTTTTTCCTCTGCTTTATATTTGATAATTGAATACTTTTGCGATCATGTTCCATGATCCCACACAGAGGACACAGTAGTCAGCAGGCTGCTGTTCAGGCTGGCCCCGCTGCATCTGGCACATCGAAATCTGGAGCAGACCAAGAGGGCTCTCACCGTGCTCCCTGTCAGCGCCTTGTTCTTGCAGATGAGCCAGCCAGTAGTTCAAATTAATTGTATCCTGATCATATATAATTTTGCCAGACAACAAAAGAAGGCTAAATCCAAATACTTCAAATAATTCTTATTCACCTATGTATCAGTCCATGCACACCTGGTTTTTATTTCTTTTACTACGGCACTCAGAGAGATCAGAAACAGGCAGGATAGTATACCAGCCACGGGCTGGGCTAGTAAGAAGGAGCACTGCAGCAGCCAAGCTGGTTAAGGTTATGCAATAAATTACTCATTTGCCTCAGTTTTCCCCTAACTTTTTTTTCCCTATGTGTACCTTTGCTCTAACCTTTTGACCATTTGGTCATTTAAAGAATGAAAGTGGAATTTTCAAAAACACTCAGTTGGTCTCCTGCTATTGCTGTGATTATCTGCACTAACACCATTCACAGACTTCAGGAAGAACAGAAGTAGATCAAAGTCTACTCTTTTTATTTTTCTAAGCACTTGTGGTCAGCATTCTACTGCCCTGCCAGTTCTGTGTGGTTAACTGCTGAGCATGCCTGCCCTGCCCTGAGTAATAATTAACAGCACATTAAAAGAGCCTGCTTAGAAAAGAACGCATTTCCATACAGGTTACTTTGTGGGTGTTTGACATCTAAAACTCACGCCTGAGGATAAATTTGTTTCCAGCTATCAAGGTGAATTTAAGATTAAGCATAGGCTTGTGCCAGAATTTAAAACAGAGGTATGCTTTCTACTAAACTTGTAACTTCTTTGGGATAAGAATCTTCTCTTTAAATAGGTAATACAACAAACAATAAATTATCATGGTTTCATAAAAGTATCAGAGTATTTCCAACCAGATTCTTAAAAAGTACTTCTCTGGCTGAGAATCAGCGTGGCTGCTAGGTTTTGAACACAGATAAAGTTTGATGTATTACTTCCAATAAAACTCAGCAGGCAGGTAATTCCTCTGCAGTCCCGAGAACTTACCATGTGGTATTATCAGGGAAGTCACCAGCGTGCCCATCTGCCTCTGAGGCACACAAGATGGAAGGGAAAGGATGGGACGGTAGAAGAAAAACCTCAGTTCATATATGTCAAATACTACCTTGACCTCTAAGAGAGGCAGCTGTCCATCTGTCCTATCAATCGATTCAGAATCACTGAGCAGGGGACAACAGTTCCGGCAGTAACAGAAGCCCAAATCTTGCTTATTCACTTATCGCGAGCAGCACGTTGTCTTGCTCTGTAAGGCTCTTTCACTGGTAGAAAGCAACAAAATGATAGAGGTAGTGTTGGTGGAATTTGAAAGCTGGCAATTAATGTTTCGATCATCAATTTGTAGCGATCCATGCAGGGACCCTTTCCCTTCAAGTCTTCAAGGAGCTGTTACAATTGTTATGTCATGCGTCAGGAAATTCATGGTGAATTCCTGTGTAAGAATGTGAGGAGATTGTTGATGTCACAGAGTTTGCAACCTCTTGTGTTAAGGGCAGAGTCAAATGCCCTTTAACTTCAGTGTGTTATTATTCCTAAACTATAAAATTATTCTGTGAACTGCAAGACAGTGTGATTTACTTACCAGCATAAGAATTAAGAAATTTCTATCATTTCTTACCTATCGATCTTTCCTAGACACATGTTATTACATTGTAGGTAATGGTGAAGAGAAATTGCTATGGAAATGATTCAGGGACTTCAGAGAGTGAGATATAATTTTATTTTTTCAAATAGAAAATTGCTCACATCTAGTCCATTTACAGACAGTCAATACGTTCCAGCACATCACATTATATCCAACAATGACAGCGCCAAGGACTTAAAAATGAACAAATGTATTATAAGTTAGTGAGTCAATTCACAGAAAAGATTGAGCAGCAAGAAAACTCATAACCAAACCAATGTTTAAATACATTTCTAACACAAGCCAACCGTTTGAAATTGACCTGAGAACAGTGCACATAGCTTCTCTTTTTTTTCCCTCTCTCTATTCTCGTAATACATGAAGACATGCTTTAAATGACTTAAAAGTTTATTACTAAGTCACCTGCACAGTTCATTTTTGAATCTAATCTTGTGAGGTACTTAATACCAGGCAGGACAACAATAGCCTGGCAGGTTTTTCCCACCCAAGAACCAACACAGAGTTTTGTGAGGAGCATGTATTATGACCACATGGCATCCAGAAAAGTATCTTTTTAGCAAAGAATATTTCTGAGGCCCATAAAATGCTGACAACCCTCAGCTTCTGTTGACTCTTATACTCTCAGGAACTCAAATCTTTGGAGCTAAAAGGGAAGTGCCCCTTCAAATTTGGTTTTTTAGCTGAAAGGTATCTGCTGTTAAACTGAAATCTCAGGGCTTAAATACAATTCAGAGCAACCTGAACCTGAGCGATTGCAGCGTGTGCATCTCCCCTGGGCACACAGGCTGGGCTTCTCTCCTCTGGTCTCCTCCTCAGGACTGGGGGCATCATATTTCTCTGAGGCTGCCCTTCCTCTTCCTCTTCCTCTTTGTACTGCAGCAACACTAAAGTGAATGGATGTTTAGAATATAAAACAGGTGAAAAAAAAAATCTTCAGCTGGTCTGACTGGAGGTTTCTGCTGAATCTTGTTCCTGTGCAAAGCCCCAAGAAGTTTGCTTTAAAACTTTTTGAAGATACCTTGAAAGCATTATGACTGTGTTTTCTACAGAAAATTGTCATCAATATTCTAGACAGTCTTGTTCTATGGAATTACATGAGGCTTCTGGAAACAACAAAAAAATCCAGAAATTTTCTCCACAGAAGTGAAAATACCAGCAGATATCAATAGAGGAAAAAAAAAAAAGTTGCTGCCGTGCCTGCTCCTACTTTGTGGCAATCTTAAGTAATAGTTTAAAAATCAATCGCTGCAATCTGTCTCAATAAAAGTGTAATCTGAAGATCAGGTATGCTTATCCTATGAATGACAGAAAAAAACAATGTCCGATAGTAATTTTGGAACACATTCAAGGATTCCGTTACATCTTTCCACTGTGATGACAATTAAGTTGTTATAAACCCTACATCCTATGTTTTAAGCATATCCTTTGAAGTTATGTTAACTGAGAACACTGTCTAAAAATCTTGATTCTTATTTTATTACAAATTATTTACCAAATCAGTAAAGCTATCTACTCTACTATGCACAGCTTCACCTATACATAGCTGTTAGAAATACACTTTATCAAAGTCAGCGACAACACCCAAACCGTAAAATGTAACCACTCTTATCCTCTTTAAACAGTCTAATAAATAAATAAAATTACATAAATATTGCAGAACAAAAGTATATTCCTTGCACCAATAGAGGTATATCGTTTATCAGTTATCAATAGTAAAATCTTGCTTTTATCTTTAGAAAGAATATTTTAAATTTCTCACAATATAGCACAAACTTAAGATCATTCATAAATTAACATGACAGGATCCAGTGTGTCTGTTACCCTACAAATACTTACCAAGAGGTTTTTTTAGGAATGCTTTTAGCTTTGACTGTACCATAGGCAACTGCTGCAAATTAGCACCATTAATGAAATAATGGAACATCATATCTTCTCAAAGCATGAGGTAAAACGATATTTAAAAAGAAACAGTCTTTCAGTTTCTTCTTGTTTTTTCAGTTTGAAAAGGTAGTGCATCATACATACAGCTGGGAATACTACCAATCTTAAGTTGCAGAATTATCTCAAATTTAAGAAAGTACTTAAATTACACCAAATACTAAGGAAAATTTCTGCACATCTGCTTTGCCAGTATCTACAAATAAATGTACAAAAAAGGATAAGGGATAGTTCCTTTAAGCAAAAAACCAAGCATATATATTATTGAGCAGCAAGATAAATGTATTTTAAATATAAATTTCTCTTAATTGTTGACATTACAAACTCAACATTTTTTGCAGCCCTTTTTAGGAATTACTCTCAGGAAGATCTTTAACTGCTATACCCCTTTTCCTATGATGCTGTTTGTGATGTATTTTATCAAGCAATCGTAAAGCAGTTAGTCTAGATTACTATTTTTAAATTGTCATTTAGCCTATTTTAGAGAAGACCTTAATCTGTGACATACAAAACCTTTTTTGAGCATGTAACAGTCTTAAGGGTAGTCACCTCTTTGATAATCCCTTACCATTTTATAAAATGCAGGGATTTAATATTGCTTTAACTTCTTATTCAAAAATACACAGTGCTCTAAAACTTACAAATACCTAGAAAATTAATTTCTGACGTTGCATTTACAGTAGTTTTAATAAGTGCTTATACGTGGTTATTAGTCAAATGACCCTTCCTCCACCAGAAATACAAATTAAACTTATTTTAATATGAGATGCTTGCTTTCTGACCTTTAAATAGTACAACAAGGCTCGGCTGTGCCAAAACATTAACAAAACCACATACAGATGGAAGCTCTGCAGCCTCAAAAATACTGAATGATGTCATCATGTTTCTCAGGAACTCTGTTCTCAGTGTTAAAATAAAATTCCGGGAAAACAACAGAGTTCTGATTTCCCTTTCAGAGACCCCAATGTCCACCAGGCAGGTAAATTCAAACTTATTCTGTATTTTGGTGACCCTTTAAGCAGATACTGAAATGACTCACTCCAGCGTGAGCAAAAGAACTGCTTAAGAGCTTTTGATAACATAATAACGTTTGCCAAGCTGATAGTAAATTTGAATTCCTTCCTTTTTCAGAAGATTGTATCTCTATTATTAAAAATATTGCTGAAATTATATTTATTTGCATGTGACTGTTTAAACCCTGCTCAGCTGATAGCCTCTGGATAATATGATGCTTTCAAAGTGCTGGTCTTCTGCTTTTTCTTTCACTCTCTGCTCCTCTAAGGCAGACACAAGTTTGTCCCTTTCTTCAACCACTTTCATCATCTCAGTAAAAATTTCATCCTCCTCATTCAGATCCATCTCATCTTTAAGGCTGTCTAAAAGATCACAAAACAATAGGTTAAAATCTAGATGATTCTGTTGCCATGCTTTGCATTTTAACTCTTGCTATACAGGTTAAATTAATACTATGGCCAATGACCAACGAAGTCAATAGCAGTAAATATTTTTCAGGGGGAAAATTTCTGCTGCATTTAGGCCATTTAAGGTTGACTGTTAAGGCTCCTAATGCCTAGAGTAGATCTACCCAAACTTAGGCTGGAAGGGCTGGGAAGAGCACTATCTGTTTATAAAACATTTAACCTGAACTTTAAGTTTAGTTTATACAAGGTAAAAAGCCCAGCCATTAAATGCAGTACCTGGAAGAAAACAGGAAGTGTTTTTCAGACAAAGTTTTGAAAACTGCCATCACTTACAATCCACATGCTTAAACCACAATGGAATATTTTGGGATATTTGGTGCTACGTAACCCTCCTTCTCTCTGCATTCCTCCTTCCCATGATTTCTTTTCTAATACCAGATGAAAGGACAAGCTCAAACTGTATTCTCAAGTAGCCAAAAGCAGTTCCAAAGTACTGCAGTAACGAGTAACATTACAGTTAATGTAAAAGCCGAGAACCTCTTTCTGGTTTAGGCTGTTGAAGAAATTACTTTCCGTTGCTGCCCATCATGGCATGGTAGCTGGACGTGGCTGCCTGCACAGCACAATCAGTGGGATTACACGTGTAGGTGCTTCTGATTCAGTTCAGTGTGACACTGGACAGGTTAGCTTAGCTGTTTTCACTAGAGGTCAGATGAGAAGATCTCACAAGCTGCAGTTTGCTGGCTGAGAGCGCAGGAAGAAAAGCCTCCGTCACCCTGGTCCTTTTTGGAGCAAGCAGGGACACATATGGGCACAGTCTGTCACCGTGGGATGGAACATATGCTCCCTTTTGACTTACCATCAATGGCCATCTTCTCTCTCAGCGTCTGTTCCAACCTGCTTTGGTGGTCCTCCAGTTCTAGCTCTTGGGCTCTAGGTGCAGTAAAAAGTATATTAAAGAAAAAAGAAAAAGTTTTGTTGTTTTTTTTTTCCAATAAAGACATACATGCAAATATTATTTCAATCAAGAGATTCTGTGTTCTGTTGATCCAGTATTTTCTCCTCACGGATGGTCAAGGCTAGAAACATTCCCTGTGCCCACATTGCCACAGCAACGCCACAAGTACCAGCTTTTGCATTATGTTCAGATTAAGCTCCCTCATGCATCGCAACGCTTCAGGCTTTAACCAGCTGAGCTTTGGTGGTGGCAGCCACAAGTGATTCGGAGGCGGGCTGCACGCTCTCACACATGAAGGGCCCTGCACGGGGATGGGTCCTGGAGCAAGGGTATTAACACAAGTGAACGCATCCAGACAACAACGTTTTGTGTCCTGTAGCGATCGAAGCAGTCTGGTTTCACTTTTTTAACTCTGCTTTGCAGACAGCGTGAGCAGCAGGCATCGCTAACACAACACCCAGTGACAATCCAAGGGGAACAGAAAGGTTTAGTCCTGGCAGCCTCAGCACAGCGCAGGAAAAACTGAGGTGCAGCTCTGCGTATGTTGCAGGGGTTGAGTCACGGGGAGATATTAAATGGCAACGAGCAGCACTGGTATGAAATCCAGGGGCGGGTGATGACTGCTGCAGCTCTCCTCGCCTTCCCATATTGCCCAGAAATAGTGGAGAAAATAGCTGAGAGTCACCTCTGCCTATCTGGAGAGTGTGTTTCCAAGGTGGCGAGGTGCCACAAAGAGAGGCATCTGAGACCACTTCTATTTGCTTGGTGTATCTGCTTGTTTCATCGCTGCAGTGAATTCCTAGATTCTTCTATGTCCAGCAAAAACTGAGATAAACTTGTCAGACTATTTTTCTTCCACGGGAGAAAGTTCCTCAGTGCTCAGTAGACCCACATGGTGTAAAAAGCACAACATCTATATGTGACACTGGTTTATCATGTCTCACAGGATTGAAATAATTGAACCACTATGAGAGGGAAGGATGAGGAGGGCTCAACTGAAAATCTGTTCAAAACAGATTGTAGATACTCTGCGCACATTTATTCCACAACACCCTCAAACTGCAGCATGCAGCAAGGTGTTCAGGTGTATTGTGAGCACGCTTTTCCTCTCTCCCCTCCCATCTTGAATAGTAATGCTTGTCCTTACTTACATAATCAGGAGCTCAGACTCATAGCGCATTAATTTATTCTTCTCCAGGACCAGCTCAAACCATTCGTGTAGCATCTGCGTTTCATCTTTTGTGCCTGAATCTGTTTAAAATAGGAGACTTAAGTAGGTATCATCATCTTCTTTTCCAATGCTCTTACCACTTAAGTTTTCTGCCTGATTCCATTAAAACTTGGCAGTAATGGATGTGTTCCTGTGGGGTGTCCCAGGTCAGCAAGCCGTGATTAAAAATGTCTTCTCAGAGTGACTGCTGGAGCAGTTCTCGCTAGGACATGCCAATGGTGCCTTTTCACAGATCCAAAGCAGTGATGCAGCATTAGTGCCCAGAGCCTTAGGTCTTTGTGTGCCAACATCAGAAGTTAGCATCAAAATTTGATCTGTCTCACTGTCAGTAAAATCATTACAATTGCAATTATGCGTATGTCCTGCACACACACACAGAAGGCTGCTATTCCCTTTTTACTGTTTTCTTGATTAGGCAAAAATACTCTCTTTAACATTCCTCTTTATGCTTTAAAATCTCCATATCTCTAATAAAAGATTGTGTATTATATGTCGATTGAGGTAAGCAAGGAGTAACGCACTTTGCAAAAATACCACTCATTTTTGCAAAATCCTCAGTGCAAGCTGAAATAAAAATGGCTGTTGTTTTAACTCCTTCTCCATTCGACAGAATGCCCCCCAAGTGTCCCCAGGGGCAGTTTTGCCTGAGCTTTTCAAATGTTTGTTAATAATAATAATAGTTATTTAAGTCTGATGGAGTGCTTTATGCCTTCAAAGTGCAGAACAAGCCAGCTAAGTTTTCTTCATAACACAGTATGACAGAACTTTTTAGAGATTAGAAGGAAACCAACTTGTGAGTTTATTTTGTGAGCCACACTGGCTTTTTCTTACAGCATTACTAAAGCAAAACTTTCCTTCTGGATTACCCAAGTCACCATTAACCTAGATCCTGTTTGAAAGCCAACATTCTTCTAATTATATTATAGCTATTTTTATTTTCATCACTTTTGAAGGAAGGACAGGCACCGGGGGATATTTACTGAATTCTGTTCTCAAACCCTCAACCTTCTGTTCTGCAGTGATGCTGTGCTGTCCCCTGCATGCAGCAGTCACACAGGAAAGGGGGCTTGGCCAGTTTGCACCTTTTTCCAGGTAAACTTCATATTTCTTATTCCTACAGGTTTTCATCTGATTTCATCTGATTCTGTTGAAAGTTCTGAGAAACCTTGGATATGGTCTGTATGAAATAAAAAGCTAGCTGCAATATGTGCAGATATTTGTTCACCTTCCAAAATACAGAGACATTTCTTAACAGATTTTCTTCATGATTTGTTTAGTCAACTGATCGGTTATGCTAATTTTAGTGGAAAATGTGTTTCAAGGTTTTTATTTCAGTATTTTCTTGTGGGCAGAAGATCTCCATAAGCCTCCACAAATGTCAGTGGAAAACAAAGCAACGGTACATCAGTGATTTATTATTTTGTATTTTGAACCAGAATAAAGGGAATAACAGGCATGATTTTTATTTTTTTTGAAGAAAAATGCATGAATTGTTGTCACTACAGTTAGAAGATCATCAAAGCCTCATTTTGCTCATCAGTTTTCATGGCAGTTTTTTCGCACCCACGCATGTTCTCTTCTAATTCAGTTGAGGAGCTAATGAATAACTCCCCCTAACAAAGGGGCCATTCATCCCGGGCTTACAGAATTATTAGAGGAGAGTTGCGTAAATGTCACTGAAGACTAGTGTTTGCAGGCCTGTCTCTAAATTTGGTTATTCACAACCTTTGCAGCTCAATATTATTGCTGAACTGTGATCGTTTTCTAATTACCTTAATAATACCTATTAAATCACTTGAATTGCATAAGTGCAGACCTGCTTAAATACAACTTAACCTAATAAACACTGGTCATTCATTAAACAATAATGCCCATTATTTTTAAGAAGGTTGAACAGAATATTAAACTCACCAACTCCCGCATCATTACACATGTGTTATTACAAGCAACAAAGTACGCACATTTGATTTGGGGAATTTACAGCTTCATGCTTTCATGACAGAAGAGTTATTGAGAGACAGTAACATCCTACGTTTCAGCATCTGCCCTATTTGTAACTGGCCACCTACAGACAAACAATCAACAGGGAGAAAAAAAATAGTACTTTCACCTTAATGAGGGCAATCCAATTACTAAGGATGGGAAGAGAATGAGAAACATCAATCTCTTGGCAGGCAGCCTTCTTTAGGAAATGCGATTGTCAAAACAGCAAAAACAAGAGGTGGCTCTAGGCCATTTATCCTGGTATTCAGTGTCTACCCCAAGAGCTGGAATCCTCCTGTCCCTCTATATCTTTGAGGTTTCCAAAAAAAAAAAAAAAAGATCCACCCTTACCCAACTCAGCAATGAAGAAAAAAGCTAATGTTCCAAATCCTCAGTCTTTTTAGCAGACTTCTCACAGGCAGTAAGGTGGCTGCCATTAGATAAAAGGTTATGTTTTCGTTTAAGAAAAAAATATGCTAGCCTTTCAAGTAACATTTGCAGTAGGTTGGCACTATCAATTATAGGAAATTAGTTACTAAATATGAAAGGTTGGGCTAACACTCTTCTGCTGAACTGATTAGTTCAGTGTTAGGAGTGGTAACTAATAAGAAACAGGGCATTAAAATAGCCAGCACGTAGAGATTGTGCTGGGCTACCTGGCTAAGACAACAACAAGATCAGGTGTCAAAACATATCTAGTTTTTCAGTGTTGTGCAACTGCCTGTCATGAAAGCACAAGGTTCAGCTTTCTAAACCAATGGTGAATAAAGACGATGTTTGCAACTGGGCTGTTGTCTCCCCAGAGTCCTTTCAGCACAGAATCTCAGCTGCTTCTGAAGTCCCTACATGCGTGATTTACACTCCCATCCCCATTTTGAGCCTGGCAGGAGCCCTGAGATAACCTCTCCCTCTATGGGAGACGTCCTCGGCTTCACTCAGGTGCGCTGGGGAGCAGTGAGCAGGCCCGGCTGGCCGGAGGATGCCCCAGCCCTGGGCACTTGGGACTGTGGGTCCAGGCGAGGGAGGACCTTGCCTCCAGCTGGGGCCAGGATGACATCCCTGTTATCTTGTACCCATTGCAAGAAGAGCTGTGGGGTCTGTGTGCCTGCATGCTGCTGTTGCTATAGCGTGGCCACTGGCTCTAATCCTATTAATGGCATTTCACACGCCGGGAGAAGTCATTAAGGACTCTGTTACTAGGCATGGGCTGCTGCTGGCTTGGTAACTGAGATGCAGCTCCTGGAAGGCTCACTGGTTCCCTCCAGAAGCTGAAATTATCTCAGGATAGGTTTTTAAAAAACAGAGGAGAGAAATGTAGATTCAGGATCAATAGCAAGGCAAATAATTCCAAATCTGTGATAACCCACAGAAATTTTGTATCATTTGGCGCAAAAGTGCTTGAGCTGACAGAGTTTGAGGAAAAGGGTAAACAATAGTTTTTGTCCTTCCAGTTACTCTTTCACTTCAGATTTTGCACTGAACTCTATTTGTGACAATCATTAAAACCCCTCCACTTCGAAATATGTTAATAAAACCCCTCTAAACACTCCCTCATTTACCTGCTTCTCCTCTTAGTTCTCTCTCCAGTTTGACACCAAAAATCTCCAGAGCTCTTTGTCTTTCCTCCAGTTCTTCTAGCTGGCGCTGGACTGCCTGCAAAATCACAATGATATAAAAGCTACAGACATAGCTTAAAAATTCAGAGACAAAAGATGGTCTCAGTGGTTAGAGAAACAGCTTGAAAAGGTCTCAGAGGAGTCATGGGATTTGCAAACTCATAGACCATCTTAGGCGCCTAGGCAATTTAATAATTCCACTAGGTATCTATCCACATTGTTATGTGAGCAAGTATCATGGGTACTAACAGGACCTCTGTTTTTCTGAACATTAGCTCTCCCATTGCAAAGCAGAGATCATAACGTTTCTGAGTCTTGCAAGGTGTGAAACACCTTATGCATTCAGAGGCACATATTCTGACATGCTACATGGATAAAGCTCGTATAAATATTGAAGGCTGACAGCTAGAAAGCTTTGCTAGCTATTTTGTTGTCCATGGGGTTTTGTTGGTTGTTTTGCTTTCATATTTCCCAAGCTTTTGATACAGGAAAGAAAGATTCTAATAGCTAAGAAGTGATAACTCAGTGGCACTTCAGGAAGGACTTCTGCCTTGACTGGTCCATGCCCTGTTAAATAAGACTTTTTAGAGGTGCCATGTGGATAATAGGCATGAAACCCCTTAAAAGACTGAATCATCAAAGGTGGTTGCTCAGCAGTTCCCATTTTAGGCTGTGTTAGGGCATACCGAGCCAAGCCCTCAGCAATAGCCTAACAAACACAAAAGATGGTTCAAAAAGTTTTGACTTGATTATTATTATAAAGCAGTAAAATAAGAGAAGGCACATTATGCATCTAATTTTACCTTGAAATAATTTACAAATCTCAGGTAAAAATAACAATTGCTCTTACTTTGTATTATATAAGATTTTTTTCCCACAAATCTTATTCTGTCACAGATTTTATAAAAACAGCTAGATATTAGCATTTTCTAAATAAGACTGTCTGTTCAAATGCAAGATTTCTCTCCTTCTCAATACATAGTACGTCATTGATTGATCATCAAATGACACATTTACATGAATACATTTTGCAAAAGCAGTGATGTCTACAAAACCAGAGATTTTAGATTCACATCTGAAAACCAACTCAGTTTTCTCTTTTAATTTAAGAGTGGTACATAAATAGCAAAAGGAAGCTCTATCCAAAATTATCCACCTGCTATAGTAATACAACAGAGGATGATGGACAATTCTGCCTTTAAAAAACTTGCCCTCCCCACTACTGTATCGTGATTGCCATTACAACCTGAATTAATGGGATTAAACCTAGCTCAAGTTTCTCTACCCTGTGCTACTCTACAGACACACACAAAAAGTGCTCATGTCCATATAAACCATTAAGTTCTGTGTATGTGTATATATCTGTAGATACGTAAGTGTGGCAAGTGAAATAGATAAACTTGAAAATTTTTACACCTGAGGGAATGCAGTGCAGAAAATTGCATTCCCAAATCTTTGAACTGCAACTGGAAATTAGCAGAGTCCAGAGCTTTTCCAGCATTTCTGAAGACCAGGGCTTGTATGAATGAAGTGACTTTGCATCACTAAGAAACAGAATGATTCACTTGCATTGTTACTGCATAGAGAGGACAAAAAATATCACTGTGTCTTTATACTCTTCTGTAGTACATAAAGGTAATAGTTGAGTTTCTCGGGGGCTGATGTTATTTCCCCTTCCTACCTTTTTCCCTCTTTAGTTTATTCTTCTCTTATAGCCAGTCACTATTCTTTCTTGTTCTTCATAAACAACAATTTTTTCATGATCTCCTGAGGCACACGTGGATTTGTCACTTACAGAGATGTCTACAAAGCCTTGCAAAGCCCTGCCCCATACATCTCCCTTCTTCTGATGGTTTGGGGGAACTTTATGGGAAACACAGAAGGCAATGAGCCACAGTGAGGGGAGGTGCAGGGCACACATTTGGTACCTCCCGTGCTTGCTAGTCATGCTTGGGAGACAAGTGGGACATCTGTGAGCTACGTCTTCACCTGTGCTTTGTGAAGCCTCTTCAGCTCCTCTTGCTTAATCAATTGCTTTGTCTCCTTCTCCAGCTTCCTCCTCCTTCTGAGAGCCCTTTTTGCCTACATAAGAGAGAAAGGAAAAAAAAAGGAAATCAAAGCTTAAGTATGGCATGACAGATTTCCTCAAACCTTCCCCAGAATCATAGAACTGTTGAGGTTGGAAGAGACCTCTGGAGGTCGTCTAAACTGACTTCCTTGCTCAGAGCAAGATGAGCTACTACAGGGTGCTTGGGGCAACCTAACTGAAATGAAAATATTCATGCAGGAAGATTTTCGTGCATTTGCCTACATTGATTTTAAATCATTACAAACTCTTATCACAACCCTAAGTGAGTATGAACTGTGTCTATCAACAAAAAAATGTCTGAACCACAAAGCTGGCTGTATACAACATACCACTATATGTGGCTTCTGCAGACATCACCTTGACCCAAGCTATGTGGAAGGGCTTCCAGACTGTGGTTTCCCCATTTTGGAGGAGACAGAATATATGAGCACTGTAGAGAAGATGATTAAAAAAGCCCTAATGAGCCAGGAAACTACTAAAATTTTTCCAACTGAGTTCAGAACTGGCACGAAAGAGGTGCTAGGAGGCAGCCGAGAGAAACAAGCATCAAAACTGAACCACAGGTAATGGCGGTGTATGACAGCTGCTCCTCCGCCCCGTTGCTGGCAGCTGCCCCCACAGCACTGCCTTCCCCTGCCCGGTCCTGCCTCTGCCCACCTCCCCACCATTAGGGGTTGCTCCTATCCATTTTTTTCTCATGACTCCCTTCTTTTCTCGACTTTATTTAAACCTTGTTTAATCCACCATAGTATTATCTTACTATAGATAATCTGTCCTGTAGCAGGAAAGATGAATGATGAATTCTGACATCTCAGTGCATCCTGACGTGGAGCCACTGGCAGAACGTGCCACCACATGTTGCTGCTTTTTGGCCTCGTGGCACTTGGATTCCTCTGGAGCTGTGCAATTGGGTTTCCATTCAAAGGCCCACTTAACTTTCAGTTTGGCTGTTTTTTCAGCGTACTGGGCAGTCTCTTGTTTTGCTTTCCTTTCCCCCCCAGCCTCAAAGGCAACAAATCAAAAGGCTATCTCATATTATTTGTCCCACTCACTGATAATCTCCACAGGAAAGAGGTAACCACATTTCTGATGAGCTATTCAGGCAATAAAAGCTCTTTTTCTTCATATCAGAGCTGGATATCAAGAGTTCACTGGTGCTCTAACTCCACTGCCCCTGGTAGCCACAGAAGCTGAGTTGGGCTCGTAGACCCCAGGTGCTGCCGGCCGTTTGGACGAACAGGGTCTGGGTGCAACTTCATGGCTCACATGGCTGTGCTGATTAGGATAAACACAGCATTTTCCATGCAATCTGCCCGTAGCACTTCTCAAATGAATTTGTACTTCCCCAAGGGAAATCTGCATCTGTTTGGTTTAATTTTTTCAATAGTTTGCTTGTTGGGCTGCATATTAAGGCCACTTAAGTATGCAGCTTCAAAGTGGTTTCAGTGAAACATGTCTGTTTGTCAAATTAAGATCTCCTCTGTCAAGGCTGGTGTAACCTGGGGGAATTAAAGATCCAAAGAGGAAAAATAAATTCTGATATTCATCTGTCTTGAAGAGTTTTAATGTATTTTCTCTCCATGACAAGTAACCCCACTGATAAAATGTTCCAATCCCCACTTTGAGAAATTGCCGTATGTTTTAGATCAAAATCATATGATGAAACTTAAATACAATACAACTGAGGAAATACCTTTCTCTTTCCAAGTCTAGATTACCTTGTGTGTTAATGAAGCCTTGGATTCAAATTCATCATCAGAGGAAGAAGTAGAATACTGGATAGCTTGTTTTCTGACAGGTAGGTGTTCACATCCTAAAATGAAGAAACAAAATAGTCATTGAAGCAAAAAAATGCTGCTCTTCACCTTATACAGACACTTTGCACCTGCCTTGAGTTCTAATCAGCAACACCTAGAGCAGTCTGGAAATTCGGATGACAGCATTAATTAAATTTTTGATCCCTGTCAAAAACTCTGCCTGGGTATATCTAATTATTTTTTTCAAGTATTACATACAAGTAAATTAATTCCTTAAGCACCCTGTATGTGGCATGCTGTTCTGAATGCACTCAACATTCATTAAAATGTATATCTGAAGTTAGCCATATTATCCAAATGATTGTATAAGGCTCACTATACAGTGTAATTGAATGCAAAAAGTCTGAGCCAGCTCTTAAACAAATTACCCTTATGTGGCTTGTAGCATCTGGCACCCATTTTTACTACATGACATCTGCTCAGTGTAAAATAGTTGGCGTCAGAATGTCTGGTCATATAAAAAAATCACAAATGTAATCAGAAGCAAATGGACTAAGAGAACAAGGCTTTATCACACAGCCTCATGCAACATAAATATTTCATTAATTATGTCTAAACAAACGTCACTTATTTTTCTGCTTTAGGAATATTATCACATCATTGAACTGTTGATTAAAGTGCCATAATAAGTCAGGAAAATCCATACATCACAACAATGCACTCCATAAGGAAAACTCAAAGGCTGCCTTTGGAGGAAGCATGCTTTCAGAATTACAAATTAAATTACATTTAATTGCAGCAATTTTATCATGCCTGTTTTTCCAGCATCTTGTTTCAACTGGGTGTAAATATTTGAATTTCTTCTTAATTTGTCTAATTCATAGCTTCATTCTCTTTATTTCAGAAAATAAAACTGCTTTTGGAACATCTGTCTCTACACTTCAACCTGCTACAGGGTTAATGATTAACAGCTGGGCAACATCTTGGAAATATACATTATTTAAAGCTAACAGTGCTGTTTATCTTTGTATCTTCGAGGTAACAGTTGCCTTTCTATGCACAAGTTGTATCCAGATTAAAATCGCTTCCCATTCTCCCAGTGCAAATGCTTCTTTGTCTTGTCCTGGATCCCAGTCCTGAAGTAAGACTTCTCGCTCAAACATGCGTTTAAAAATCATGATCCATGGAAACACATTTATCCCATGTGGTAAAGCAATGAAAGCAAATCCAAGTAATTTGCGGCAGAAATTCTGGTATTTGACAGCAGTCCCAATTCTAGAAGCACCTGGTCTTGTGAAGGTGGAAACTCCGAGGGTCCAGCAGAACAGACTGGCGTGCTGCCCTCCTTTGTGCAGGACAGGTGCTTGGGTAGCGGGAGGTGCAGCAGCGCCGAGTGGTGCTTCTGCCGGAGCTACTGCACCTCCTGCTACCCAAGGACCTGTGCTGCTCAAAGCAGGGCAGCAGGGTCTCCAGACAGGTGGGTCTCCAGCCTCCCAGGTGATCTCCCCGCTCCAGAATTGCCCAGGCTCCCACCCTGCACCTCCCTGCCTCACAGCACTTGGAGGAGGGACGCAGCTCCTGCTTGCTGGCCCACAGGTGACTCTCGGATGGCAGACAGGAGCGCAGATCCATCCACACCCCATCTCTGCCTGCAGCAAGGCCAGTCAGCCACAGAGCCCTTCTGAGCACGCAGGATGGAGGAAAGCATGGGGGTACCACTGTTACTATTTCTTTTGAGGAGTGAACTCGCCCACCTTGATTTTCCCTGCACAACCAGAAGTTTGCAGAAACTACCCTGTGGTCAGGCCAGTGGTGAAATCAATTCCATAACTTGCAAGCACCAAACCCTACAGCACAGGAAAGATGGACATACAGGCAATTACACGCTTCCTTTCTTCTCTCACCTGTGGGAATAAAAGACTGCTGCCCCATGTCCTCCTCTTTGAGCGATATCAATAATTTAAGAAGTGGTACAGGGTTTAGAGGAAAAGCAGCCTGCTGTAACACAACGGCACCTGCCTCCTCCTCAGGGGTGTGATTTGGGAGGTGTTTGCCTTTCTAGGACAGAAAGAGGGTCAATGACTTCCCCAAGGGCTTCCAAGACCCATCTCATGACCACTAGGGAGCCAATGCCTGTGCACAGAATAGACCCATAACATCTACAATGCCTATCTGCTACGGAGGGACAGGTATTTGCACCTTACCCTGCAGAGAAAAGCTGGTTAGATTGCTCTGAAACAGCTCAGCCTTTCAAGAGACACAGCACCCAAAGCCCTGTGAGACAAGAGCCACCTGACTGCAATCAGCAGTGTCCTTCATAGTCTCCACCTGAGAAGCCTACAGGTCAAAGGACCACGTGTAACCACTCAGTGATGAAGCATCTGATGGATCTACCCGCGCGCATTGACAGTTCCGGCCTCTGTCACATTTAGTGCATACACATTTCAGAGCACTGATGTTCTCTGCTGGTAAAATATGGATAATTGAAGCATGGGCTGCTCCAAGGAGATGCCTGGAGTTGCCACACAGCAGTGAGGGGCAGGTTGAGGATACAGGTCTTTGGCTCCCAGATATGTGCTCCTGCCATGTTTCAGGGATATAGAAGCAGTGAGGCAGTGCATTTCTTTCAACATTAAAAGGGCAGACCCTCAGTGCTCTGCTCGATTATTTTTCTTCGGCTTTTTCCTTCTGGGAGAGACGAGAAACATGCTCTAAAAAGTAGCCCAAATTTCAACTTCAAGACAACTATAACAAGCATAGTAAGAAATTACCAAATAGAAAGAATTTGCTTTATGCAGAGCTAGAGAAAAACACAAGTTTATTCTATTTTTGGAAATGAAAAAAACCCCACCCCATAAGCCCCAAACTAAAACAAGAACAAACACAAAACCCCCCACTTCTCTGTATTCCTATATCTATATGTCCTACTGTAGATGACAGCATTAATCCTTTCCGTCTCCAGATGGGTGAGGTACACAGAATTTAGCTGCTACCTGTGAGGATTTGGACAAGGAGTTCACACATAAAAGTGTTCAGTATAAGGACTTCTACACTTCATTTAAATCTAAAACTTAGAGCTGCAATAAAGTTTGATAATAGTAATAATTTATCTATTAGAAATACGTCAAGCCTTAAAGCTTCATAGCTACAAAGAAGATTTCACACATATACATATTTAAGTCTTCCTCTTTTGAAAGTAACTATAAATTAAATGAAACATACAACAGATCTGTGTTTGCAAGATCACACACTGGTCTTTTAAATGCTAAGTGGTGATAATAATAAAAATAATTCCACTCAGGTCCTCACCTGTGGAAGGACAGCATAGCCTGTCTTCTGGAGAAAGGTCCTTCACGAAAGGCAGAGATGACACAAAGGAATTCCCTTCTCTGTCACAAACTTTACTTCTCAGTCTATCAAAGAGCAGTGCAAGACTACCCTTCTGTGCCGAGTCACCCAGAGGGTCCTTGGAGATGTTGTTGGGCTCTGGGGATGAAAGGGGGAGGTACTTTTCATTACAGATAAGTTTGTCATCCATGGGAACCCCTGGAGGAGTCTCTTTAAAAGTAAACTTTTCTAGGAGTCCTGGGACATCCTCTATCCTAGCGCAAGATGATTTCTGAGGTATATTGGTTGTCTTGGAAAGGCTGGTGTGAGGACTGTAAGCTGGGAAGGATACCTCCTCACTGTAATTCCTTGGGGATCTCACTTCAGAGCCTACAGAAAAGTTAGATGGATCTGAGAAATTGCTCCAATTTCCTAAATATTTTCCTGCCTGCTCCCCTACTTTAAGCTCCTGTGGCTGAGGGTTATTTGTTCTATTATTGTTACTGTTCCTTTGGCTTGTGGAATAGCCAGGAGTGCTGGGGAAGCTGAAGAAAGCTTGTTCTGAAGATGCTTTGACTTTGCTGTCTGAGTCCTGCTTTAGTCCTTCTGGAGACGAGGTTAGAGGCTCCCAAATGGACCTTTTAATCGCATTGGCTATGAGCCTCAGGGGTGATTTTGGCTGGCCAGCTGCATGCTCCCTGGCAACCGCATCTTTTCTGTCATCTGGCAAAGCTGGTGGAGCTCCATCTGCAAATGAGAGAGGTGCAGGACAGCTAGGTAGTTTGAAACCATCATTTCTCCAGGCAGTATTCTTCTGCTTTGAAGTCCACAGCGCTCCTTTGTTTCGAAGCCGTGGACTGGTTCCACCTAAGTCCGTCCTGTTTGAATCGTTTGACAAAGGTCGCTGTTGAGTACAAAGCACCAGCCTCTTTTTTTCCTCCTTTAATTCTTGCTCAAGCTTTTCTTCTGGGTGCCTTGTATTTTTGACATCTTTCTCTTTCAAATCTAGAGATAGTGGCACTTTTGTCCTCCTACTAAAGTCTTCTAGTTCAGAGGTATATTTCTGAGATTTTTCCTTCCAGCCCTGGGGTGTGTATGCCCCGGTGTCACTCTCTGTATCTTCAGAGTCAGAAAAATCAGCAAACAGTGTCCCATTCCCAGGAGGGGGCTGTGGAAAACCTCTGGTGCTGCTCTGAAAAGGACAATGGGGCACATAGACACTGGTGTCTTCAGGCATCTGTCTGGCTTTTTCTTTTCGTTGAAATACGGGGCTGTAGGCTTTGAAATGTCCTCTTGTAACTTCTGGTGACTTCTTGTAAGAAGCCAGCTATGAAGTGCGTGAAAAAAAGAGAATATTTTAGAAGTAGAAAAATGCAGTTTGGTGTATCTTTTATTTCATAAAATTTTGATTTTAATCTTAACATAATACTAACAGACATAATATTTAATTTATATACACATATACGCACATACATAGGTAGATGATAATACAATAAGGAGAAAAGCTTTTCTCCCTACAGGGCTAATACTTCTCTAGGAGTCAAGATCTAATACTACTGGAAATTTTAACAGTGTAAAAATAATGTTATTCATGCTAAGCATCTGATGTATTTTTATGGATTGCCTTTAATATGTTGCTTAGAAAGCAACAATTCTATCTACAGGAAAATAAATAAGAGCAGAGCTGTTCTATCCTCCCATGTGCATTCCAGTTGCATCACATTAGTTTCCAGCAAGCACAAGAGACCATCATCCATCCCCTCCAACTGCTTTTATAATATTCCATGCTTACAAGCATAGGTAGGAATGAATGAAATAACCCAGAAAAGAGTGTAAGATGCAAGACAGTAGTTTTAAACAATTCAGTTGGTTCTCTTTTATGATTATTTTTCCTTTGGTGAAGAATTAAATTCATTACTCTAGCCACTGAAATCTTCTGCTGGAAATAATAACAAGGATAAATGCCCACCTTATCTAGCCAGTAAACCAAAACTAGAGGGGTTTTTTTCCCCCCCTTTAAAGGGAGGCATTTTATCCTCAACACTACGTGATAACGGATAGTGCAAAGATTCAATTCCTATTTCCACTTATGTGCCAGATTCCCAAATTCACACAAGCGAGGCCGTTAATCTGACTTCTTGTTTCCCAGAAGCACCAGAAATAAAGCAATAAGGATTACTCCCTGTTGCACAGTTGTATGCAATGACAGAAAAACATCAATAAACAAATAAACACCCTCTTAATCCTCTCTCTTCAAAGGACGAAAAAGGCCACTAAGCACTGCTTATAGGATGCGAGCTGCACAGAGTCACCTCTCCTCGTGCGCAGCGTGACCGGGGAGCATTGTGCAGCTCCGTTCCCCTGGGACCTTCCCTTCCTGGTCGTATTGTCCTGGACCGGATTTCAACTGCCACCATGGATGTGGAAGACATGAGGTTTTATTTTTTTTTCCTAACACAGGCCCCGAGGTCAAGCAATTTTAATCACATTTAACCTAAGGGTGAGGACAACAGGCTGGGACACAGAGGACATGGGCTGGTCCCCACTCTGCCCAGCTCCAAGTCCAGGGCACGTGCTGCTCTTTGCTCAGGACGGTCTGTCACGACTCCTGCTGCAGTGCTGCACTTATGGTGGGTCCACCCTTCCTCAGCTTTAAAAAAAATAATTAAAAAAAGGTGCAGGAAATGCAATGGAAATCCTAGGTCCTGAAGGAATCTGAAGATGCTCCTGAGCTGTGCGATGTGTGGAGCCTGCCACAAATTCAGAAAAGAGCTCTTCTGCCCGCTGTGTGCAAGAAGTAAACATCAGACACAGGCATATCTACATCCAAGGGCTGCAACAGCCTAAAATACCCCAGTCTCTTATGCCGGGTTTCCTACGCCTGATACTGTGTGAGCTCCAACCTTGGCTCCCAGATTTGCTCTCCAAAGCCGGTGCTGGCACTTGCCTTTCACCCCATGATGCATGGCCAACAACTGGCATTTTAAGTTGCTCAGATGTAACACCCTCCCACCTTCTGCTGCTGGCATATGGTCTTGCCCACCATGCCACATGTTTCCATCCAGTCCTACAAGTACATAGGCAGCCCAACAGCCAGCTCAGGAGCACCAGTGGACAGAGGTTTTGAGCATTTCTTCTCCTTTGGGCAGAAACTGTGGCACAGAGGAAATTCCAGCAGCAGCTAGGCTGCAAGAATAGGGCAGAGGGTGGTGCCTACATGTTGACAGATGCAACTGGAGAGTGCCTGACGCTCCGTGTAATTGAGGTCTGAGTCCTACAGCAAATGTTATGTAGCCACATGATTTGGAAATGGTTGTATCAACCAGACCACCAAAGTCTCTTCCCTGCATATAGCACATTAGTTAGTTATGCTCGTTTTGCTCTGCACAGTTCTCCTTCGTACCTGTGTTTGGGAGTGATCTTCTCCAGAACTGCTTTGACAGGTGGCTGAGCTCTCCTTCCAGTGTAGCCCAGGTTTCTTGCTGGACAACAAAGGAAAACCTGCCAGAGACACAAATTTTACAATCACATTTATACTGGTTTTGTCTTAAATAAAGTTTGCAACTAAAGAACGAGTATAATGTTAACCAGACATCTGGATGCAGTTGTACCTGAAGAGCTGACCTACGGTAATGAAGTCTATGCCCTCACTCACACGTGTGTGTGCACTTTGCCAAACACATGCTGACATTTTTGGAGGTGAACATGAACTGCTTCCATTTTTTGGCTGGATGCAGTGAAGCAGCTTTTGAGTTCCAGGAAACCTTCTGGAAAACCAGCCCCCTTTAGAGGGCTTTCAGGCCTTAAAAGCAGAGGCAGTCAAAACAACCAGCAACTTTTGAAGCTTTGAGTAGTTCCAGTAAACTAAGGAAGTGAATGGTTTCTGAGAGGGCTGTCCGTCAGAGTGGGAAAGAAATGAGAAATGTAACCACCTGCAGGCAGTAAGGACAGAAATAATCCTGCAGTCTCCCCAGCCAGGCCATCGGGCAGCGTGCTGGGGGCTCTCCTGGGATCAGGCAAGGTAACTAATTGCTAAAAGCCTTGAACCAAAACCAGCACAGCCAGACACAGACCTGATGGATGAAAAAGTGGGGAGGTAACTTGCACCTGAAGGGAATCAGGAGAGGTCTCTAATATTTGTGCCCCTGGGAATTTTACATAATAAATAATCTTTAGACAGAAGAAAAGTGTCCCTGAGTCAAGATATTACTGCATCAACTTAAAATATGACAAGTATATTTATAGTTGAATTATTAACTTCCAAAGCCAGTTATTAGTTCTGAAAACCCCAAAGGTTCCCGAAGCACAATCTGGTTGTTCTAAATAGGGATTAAAAACTGCATAAGGACAAAACCAGCACACCAGAAAGAGAAGACAATTCTTGCACGTGGACTTGAGAAAAGGCAAGCCAGGGAGAGAGGCCAATTCTCCTTTCCTCTCAGTGTCTCACCTATTCCTTCCCAATCTCGATGCAATTTGTTATATTTGGTCAAGAATGGAGGAAAAGGATGTGCTGAAGTTTGTTAAGAAACTCCCGGAGGGACTAGCAACAAGGGGCTGACCTTCATATTCTGTAAAGTGAATTGAGCCATGGGAAAACATGAGAATCCAGAATTAGGATTAAAAATCCCACCAGCACCTGTATAAGTGACCCAGGGGGGTTTAGCTTGATCCACTAGAGCCCGGAGCCTCCTGACACGGGCAAATGTCACAACTCAGCACATGGAGGGGAAATGCAGCGATGAGGGCACAAACCCCACAGCCCAGGGCTCTGCAGGATAACGGCACGTACCGGCGGCAGAACTGCTCCCACTGCAGCTCTCGTGGGCCTGCGCTAGCTTACAGGGACAACGAGCAAGAACATTGCTTCGCACACAGCCACAGCTTGCTGTCTTTCACAGACACAACGCATTTGTTCCCACCAAGACACTGAACCCATATTTGCAGCTTCTCATTCAAAAGAAGATTTAAAAAAAAAAAATGGTCCTTAGGGCACTATCATGATCTGCTTGGCCCGAAAGCTACCGCAAGTGACCAAGATAAATCAAGAGGGTAGAGTTCCCCATGGGCGTGCAACTGGGATTAAAGATTTTGAAAGGTAATATCCTGCTCTGAGCCTTTTAGCCCATATAACCATGACAATGTTTTCTTTTCCTTGGCTGCGTACCTTGTGCTGTTTATGAAACGTGTTTTGGGAAATATGTCTGAGAAGGAGACAGATTTTCTTTCATGTGATGTGATAGATGATTATATGAATTCTTGTAACCAATATTAAGTGGATTAAATATAGAAAATAAGATTTACAGTGTTCCTCCAGGGAGTAAAAAAATGCCATTAGTCTGTTCCCAGTATACACTGAACGTGCTTTACTCCTCTTTTTAACAGCATACAAGGTTCAAACTCACGGAGCGCATCGCTTCCCTCTCAAAGGCTTTTAGCTCCCTCTAGAGCCCTTCGGAGGAATACGAAAGATTTAAATAAAAATGATGGAAAAATTAATTGGCAAACGATTAAGTAATGCACATGCTGAGAACAAGCTGAAAATGAGTGGAAAATAAGAGTGACCCATGGACTTCTCTTCTTTCCATAGTCTTTCTTTTTTCCCCCTCAAACGTACAATAAGTATAATTTCTGTTTGATCTTTTAAAAATTGAGATCAATTAAGGTAAGATTTTAAATCCAAGCCTTTGGTGAAGCCAGCACCTCTTTATAAGCCAATCCCCAAACGCCGTACAGTGGCCAGAGACAGTCCTGAGACAGATGCCACAAGACTTCCCGCTCGGTCCCCATGTGTTGCCTGGTCTAGTCGAGAGGTGGCGCCCTGCCCATGACAGGGAGGTTGGACTAGATGATCTCTAAGGTCCCTTCCAGCCTAGGCCATCCTAGGATTCTAGGACTTTTCAAAGGCACTTTGCTCTGCCTCCCCATCCTGGGCACGGGGCAGCCTCTCCCAAGGTGGGGCATCCCACCGGCAGCTCCAGAGAGGCCTCGCAGAGCATGGCAAGTCCCCATGCCTTGGAGGTGGAGTGAATCACAGGGAAGGCAGCCCTGTCACGGCCCATCTGCCTCAGCTGCCTCTCTGGGGACAGCCCAGCACAGGGGATGGTTTGCTGATATTGAGCTTGGTGGGAGCATTGTCTCAGGGCCGTGAAATAGCCTCATGCATCCTCTACCAAGCGCTCCCAGCTGTGTGGCATCAGGGGCCTCCAAGGCACCACAAGGTAGGCAGTGACAGTGCTCACATGTACTTGCAGGCACCAGACTTGGAGGCAAGCCTGGCACCAGGAAGGAGAGATGTAGCTCGTCTCCTCTTCTGAGATATAAAAATTCAACCTATAGTAAGTACTTGCAAATAAACTTGAAGCTCGCTGATGCATTCAAACCAAGCAAGCTGAGACATCTCTGCTTGAACACTGATCCTATAATGGATGCAGAGATCCTGCTTGTTTGGGGAGGAGAGCCCCTTAACTTTCCTGAAGGCAACTGGGACCTGGAGCAGCAGCAGAAATCGCCCTCGTTGCAGAGGACAGTCAAGAGCAGGGTTAAAGAGCGGCTGCCATCACCACTCGCCCAAACCCACTGTCTCCGTGCCCAGAAACTGTGGCACTTGGTCACACACACATCACTTCTTTTCACTGCTGCACATTTATGTTTTATACTTAAGGCTGTCAATACTACAGCATAACAGAAACGACTGCATTTCTAATCAAGTTTTGGAAGGGTTTGGGATGCTGGTAAGCTTGCCGAGCTTCCATACTGATATTATCAATCCCTGTAGGTAACTGTGAGTCCTTGGTGGGGACTGGCCAGCCCTTAGACAGGCTATGTCAAGGTGAGCAGGTGATCCTGTTGGGAGCAGCAGAGGTGTGACCAAGGATGGCTGGCTTGTTTTGAGACGGCAGCACAGGAGAAAAACTACTCAGATGCAGCCCTGGCTCCAGGGAGTGACTGCACTGTGCTTTGGAAGAGAATTGAGCACAGATCCAATCACTACTGAAACAACTGCATTCCTCTGTGATTCCCATAGGCAGGGATGGTCAGCCCAAACCAAGTGAAACTGCTAGAGGACAAGAACTAGTAACGGTTATTTTCACCAGCTCATCTCTTGAGATGGCTGTACGTGCTCCCTCCCTTTCAGTAACCCAGGAATAATCACTTGGTTTTTTCTAACAAAATAGGTTATAGAACCCTATTTATTACACCTAGAGATGAGTGTAAATAGGCATCTGCAGGAGTATTTCTAAAAAGTGATACTCAAAAGGTTAGACCCAGAGCTGCACCTAATCAAAAGCAATGGGTGCAGGCAGGGCTAGAGACAGAATACGTGTCTCTGGGACAGGGGTGCATTTTCTCAGTTGTGGATTTAAAGCAGAAAGGAGAAACAGACATTTAAGAGATAGGAAACAGAAGACTACACAAACAGCAGGTACAATTGCTTTTCAGGCTTTACTCACTCGTTTGGAGTTTTCTCCTCCAATTCTGACACTTGTTTAGCGCTGTGGAGTGAAGACTGTTGGCTCTCTGTAGTGCTGAACAGAAACAGAAGAGACACACTGTCAGCTGGCGTAACAAACTCCAGAGAGCGAAAACAAACAAAAAAGAAAGAGGGGAGAACAAACCAAAACGAAACAAAAAAGCAACAAAAGCCCCAAACCCAGGCGGCGGGGGGTCGGGTTTGTAGCCGCTCCCCGCCGGGAGGGGGCAGCGCGCACCCGGCCCGGGAAAGAGGAGCGGGATGCCCGGGGGAAAGGAGCTCGGGGAATCCTCTCGCCTGTCCCCAAGCGGCGAGGAGGAAGGTGACCTTAGCAGCCACGGGTGGGGAGAGTGTGAAACTGGGAAGGAACAAGGACGTATTCCTTCAGTGACTGCACGGGGTCACGCCGCTGTGGACACGCTTTGGTGTTCGCTGCTGTCATTCTATTTGCCCTAAACAAGGGGTTCTTTATTCAAGAGTCAAGTTAAATTGTTGTATGAAATCCCCTCTTTTGTGTTTGGATTAAAAATGCATATATCGATGTGGAGGTGGTGGGAGATGGGAAGAAGTAAACACTGGTGGCCTTTTATTTTCTGCAAAACCACTTCTTTGACTGTTTTTAGCACATCTTTTAGTTCTGACTTTCTCCAGCTCTAGAAAGGAGCTTCCATTTGGAGGCAGACTGCTCCGGAACCTCTTCCCACTTCCTCGCTAGCTATATCCTTCCCTTCTTGTGCTTTCACTAGATACTTTTAAGCAGCTACTGACAGAAATACAAATTGAAGCAAGCAAAGCTCTCTAATACCTCCCAACATGACCTTTGCTTAGGCAACACTGCAAATATTGCATTGGCCACTAGTGTCCAAACTTCTACCCGTGGGAAAACATTCATTCCACCCCCGCAAGGAACGCACGAGGCACAACTACCACAGGTTACCTCTCCCACCAACCCTGACTTCAGCCCTCAAGAGAGGCTGCTGGAGCATCTCTGGCCAGGACACTGCTCACCATCAGCAACTTTGGATGTTTTGGGACTTTCCTCTGGTGCCACAGGGCTCCTGTTGAACGATGGCCACCTCTGGACAGGGCTCAGGCAGGCTGGGGGCTCCAGCAGTGAGGTCTGGCCTTCGCTTACTTCAGAGTTTGATGAGTCACCGTTCAAATCTGACTCCAGATCAGAGCTACAGGGAAGAAAGGGTCAGATCTAAAGAAAGGGGCACATGGTAGAAGACGCGTGGCATGGAGGCATTCATCCCCCTTTGGTGCAATGGGCACCAGTGTCAGCCCTGACAGCCAGCTGAGCAGCAGAGAAATAGATGTTTTGCAGCCAGAGAAGACATCCTTATTTTGTTTTATTTTGTTGTTGTTATTACAGGACTGCAGTTTGCAGTAGGTGCTACACAGGTAAGATATCCCTATTCCCATCAGACTTCTGGCTTCCCAGATTCACACCCACAAGCACTACGTTCAGCACCTGGAATCAAACTGGCATCAAGAGAGACCTTGGGTGAAACACTCAGTGCTTGGCTGGCAGGAATGGGCCCTTCTGCCTACAGAGAATCATAGAATTGTTTCAGCTGGAAGAGACCTTGAAGGTCATCGAGTCCAGCCGTTGTTCCAGCCCTATCAGCCTGCTAAACTATGTCTCCCAATGCAACATCTAGTCATCTCTTAAACACTTCCAGGGATGGTGACTCAACCACCTCCCTGGGCAGCCTGTTCCAATGGCTGACAACACTTTCAGTAAAGAAATTCTTCCTGATATCCAACCTAAACCTCCCCTGGTGCAATTTAAATCCATTTCCCCTCATCCTATCACTCTTCCAGGTTGAAGAAAGGGAAACAGCAGCATTTGCAATCTGCCTAAAAGTAAGGCATGAGGGTCAAAACTCTACACTTCTTACCTTTATTCCATAGATTTTTGAAAGTAAGAGTCACGCCATAGAAAGCTCACAGGAGACTAAATCCACAGCACTCTGCTCTGACTATGAGGGGGGCTTCACCCACTGATTCAATATGGTTATTTTTGGACCCTGCCTCATCTCCCATCCTCATCTGCTCATGACTTGGGAAGCACAGTCCCCTCCTGCTGCAGTGCTGGTGGCTCCACACTGGCACTGCTGGCAGCAGATAAAGCCAAGGATGGTGAGGAAATGCTGAGGGGTGAGAGGCAATCCTAGCCTTTAGCAGTTTGGGGAACCTATTCTGGAAATCACATGGCAATCAGCCATTGGAACCCCGAGGTGACAGATTATGTCATGCTGGCATCTACAGCTTGGATGAGTTCGCTGTAAAACTCAGGTACTTTGTTATTGCAGAACTTGGGTATTTTTGTTATTTTGCACTAGCATCTATCTATCTTCATTCTGCACCACAGTGAGCTGCTGCACTGGGTTCTAGCCCCATGTCTTGGTGCTGCAATATAGGATGAGGAGGGAGCCTGGAGAAGAGGGTGAGGACAGCTCCACAAACAGAGTTTAGGCAAGAAGTTGAAGGAAATTGTAAGGACCAGTCTACAGAGAAGACTGAGAGAAGCTGTGTGAACAAGGTCCAAACTTGCAAAGGCACCTAGAGGAAATAAGGAACCAAACTCTTTGGGAGCCATTGGGGCTGCCCATGGAACAGGGAGTGCGATAGGCACCCAAGCTAATCACAGAGGCAGATTTTGGCATCCCCTTCCTTAAAATGTGGTTAAAAATATGCCACACAAATACATGTGAATGGCACACACATTGTGACCTTGCCTCTGGGCTTGAGAATGACCGTTTGAGGTGATTATTAGTCTTTTTTCAATAATCATGGGATTTCTTTCATATCTAAAGGTCAGACTGCAGGGAACAGACACTTTCAGGCCTTCTGATGTGACCACATTCCCATCACCATAAATAACGGTGCCACCATCCCACTCAGCCTATTTTGAATGCAAACAATGCTGCTGACCCAATTAATAGATTTATTGTAACGATTAATAGCTCTACCTTAAAAAAGAAAGTTTACATCATGAGCAGTCCTGTTGGCAGGACAGGAGAAAGCTGTTTCATGTTTATATAGCACTGGCTTGTAGAAAGTAAATATTTCTTGTAACAGCCATTGTAACCCAAGAGACAGGAGGAAGAAGAGCTAAAGGAAAGGCTGCACACATTATAAAGCCAGGGTAAATGCCCTATGGGTAAGTCCCTGCCAGTCCTGCACCCCTGCTTTGCCCAGATCAAACCAGCAGTGCTGGGAGGCCAGGGCCAGCAAGGCATCGAGGCTAGAAGCATGGCTCCAGGTGCATTGCTCCCAGTAGGCTAAATAAGAGCAGCCTTAAGTTTCACCACTAACACTTTTTAGGTGTCTTTCAAGTTGTTTCAAGCATTTGTATAAAGACAAATATATAAAGTCTTTGATAGCTGAGATGCTGTGTGGATGGGGAGACACCACACTGAGATTGGGCAGAGTGCCACACAAAAGAAAAAGAGAAAGAAGTACCACTAACATTGATTGATATATTTCTGTTTTAAAGAGCAAAATGTTTATTTTCCTTGGCTGGCAAGGACGTAAGTACTGTAGTATGATGCTTCTCCTCTAATTTCTGCTTGACAGGTCATCATTTATTCACAAGTACCTAAAGCACGAACAGCAAGGCTGTGTCACTGAGCTGCTCCTTTTCCTTGTCCCATCAAGCGCCCTGCAGCCAGCTCAGCAGTGCCATTTGTCACTTGCTATTTCTTTCATCCTCCCTTTTTAGGCAGAGGTTGAGTGCCGGAGCAGTGCAAGGTGAGGGTCGCACAATCTGCTGCAGCCACTGACCTCAGCGTCGCTGGCAGCAGGAGCAGCATCATCCCTCATACCACGTCCCGCTGGCCAGGAACCAGGGCCCTCAGCGTCCAGCCACGGGGCTGCCACAGGGCAGGGAGCTGATCCCCCCGATCCCAGGGATTAGCTGGCTCTGGTCACCGCCCAGGCGCCGCAGGGGCACCATGAGCCGGAGGGTATTAGTGAGGGATGCGAGCAGATGCAGTGGGGTCTGCCAAAGACGTAGGAAAACTTTTTCCTGAGCTCTCAGTCTCCAGCATGAGAGGAACCCTGGAGAGGGTCAACCTCAGAAAAGGACCCAGACCGACACGGCGGAGCACAAACACCGTTTAACACCACAGCAGGGAAGAGCAGAAAGTTGCATTTCGAAAAGCATTACTCTCCACAAGCGACACACAGCACCACAACCAGGTATTTAAAGGACATCAAGAATTTGAAGGTGTTTCCTTACAGAGCAATAGCTTACAATAGTTGGCTTTGGGCTTACCTTCTCCCCTTACCCCTGCCCCTCCCCTTCTTCTCTCTTAGCTCTCAGGAAAACCACTTTACTTAGGAGATGCCAATCTAACCTTTGGATGGAATTAACTCCCACAGAATTCTGTCCAGAAAGCTAATATATTCTAATTTGTACACAGGAATCAGGCTTCCTCTGACAGCTCCCCAAGGATCATCAAATTTCAGATTTCTTATGGGTGGGCAGGCCCTCAAATGCCCCAAGAGATGGCCAGGATGTGGAGCTGCAGGATAATGCCCAAGGTGGGAGGCGGCCACATCACAGGATACATCTTTGGCCACAACACACCCACTGCCCTAATCCCTGAACTGACATTTTTTGGTACACAAAGAGCTGAATCTGGGCTGATTCAGGCCGTTGTGTGGGATGTGAATATTTGAAGATTTCCTGTAAAGTGAGTCATATGTCTGGGGGATTTATAGCTGCGGTAAAGAACAATTGTTATTCTGAGCAGTTTGTCTTCCCCCCACCCTGCCTCGGTTGTATGTACATTCAGTACTGTACTTTTCAACATTTCTCCTTAGAGTTCCAGAGAAAATCAAGCTGCTCTTACGGTCTTCTGTAGGCTTACTTGTATTTTAAAGTACCTGCTTGCATCACTGGTGACCATGACTCGGACGGCAAGAAGGTTGTGCTCAGTCATCTCCTCCTCGGGGATGATCCTCACGGTGGCCCACTCGGGAGAAGGTGGCAAGAACCAGCTCTCCAAGTCACAGCGCTCGGGGATGCTCTTCGCCTTCTTCGGGGAGGTGGGCTCGTCAGGCAGGCGGCGGTCTGGGAAAGCACAAAGCAGGGTGTAGATGGACCAGTCTGGCTTGGGTGGCTAAAACTCAGCCTTTTGTTGCAAGTTAGGTCAATTTAGGACAGTGGGAATGAGCAAAATTAACACAGGCTCTTCAGAATGCTGTTTTTTTAGCGTGTACAGCAAATACAGACACTGATTTGGGAAAAGAAACAGCATCACAGCAGATAAACAGATTTGCATTCAGGTAGGAGGAATAAAGAATAAAGCCAAGTTTCCCTTGCTCATCCCAGGTGATGCAGAGGGAGCCAAAGGCAGGAGATCATCTATCCCTGTGGAATCCTTAATTTCTGAGCAATCCGATTTATCCACAACCTGCAAATACAAACATATCAGCAGCGCAAGTACCCCAGGGCTAAGTGCAGAAGGGACAGATAATAAGCTCCAGGAGAGTGGCTTTACTCGGTTCACCTCCCATGTGTGGTGCTTTGGCCACATTTAATTCAACACTGTTGCTTCTAATTTACACCTCTATAAGTGGAAAATAAATAAATAGATCAGATCTGGAACATGACTTATTTTCCTGTCTATTAGAGCAAACTACCTAGCAAACATCAGTTAAACTCCTCTTTAACCTGCAGCTCCTCCGTTCATTGCAGGAGAGCACTCACCTCTGCCCTCCACCTTGCAAAGGTTTTGAACTTGAGTGCTTCTCCAGAACAAGATTGTCCCACATGAGAACACATGCTCAGGCCATATGTCTCGCTCACTTGCACCACAACAGCCACGTTTCTTGACCGCAGAGATTTCATTTTCTTTGGGAGATGGAGGAAATTAATTCCTCTCCTATTGTGATGTCTGCCTTCTGCTTTGGCCCAGTCAGGCAGCCCATCCCAAAACCTCTTCTGGGCAGCGTTCAGGTGACAGCATGGGTGCCCGTGGGTCAGCAGAGCACAGCCATGCTTCCTCGCCCAGGAGCTCCTGGGAACAGCCTCCTCTCCCTCCAGAGCTGGGCTGCACCACAAGGTGCCACTTCTACTCTCCAGAACCGAAGTAGAAAGCAGCATTGTGAGCAAATTTGCATAACCCAAGTCCTTCAGCTCAACTCCCTCTTAAGAAATGCTGCATTTTACATGAAAATCAGAGCAAGCAAGTCCAACCAGAAGTTTGCCAGCTCTGTCTCTAAACTTTGTGCCTGTGCTGGCAATAAGCACTGCCCAAGGTCACAGTGAGCTGCTGTCAAAGAAGGTCAGTCTTGCCGTTTGCTTGCACATTCAGTACAAATTCCATTCCCATCCTGTGCATTAATGCTTTCCCCACCACGCTAACAGGAAAGAGAAGAAAACATGTTTATGACTAACAGGCACACAGCTGGGGAGCATCAAAACCCACAGACAGACAGACTACCTAAAACAATTCCCAGTGTGGTTCCCAGACGTGAACAGATTTCCAGTCAACAAGCCCCTCCGCAACAGCGTGTTACACATCCAGCCTTCAGGCATTACAGACATAACAGAGATGGTGAAGGACCTCAGGATGTCATCCAGGCCACTGGATGACACTGTCACCTCTCCCTAAAGAGCTACTTTTCTGTGATTGGTTGTGTTGTGTGGGTTTTTTCCTTCAAATTAGGTTTAAGACCAGCATCCTATATTAGCATCCCATCCAGGGGAAGATGGCATGGGGGATTGGACAAGATCTTTAAAGGTCCCTTCCAATCCAAATCACCCTAGGATTACAAAGCAAACTCACTCCTTACTAAGATATTTTACATTTGTATTGTGACATATAAAGTCAAATAAACTACATTACACTCAACTCCACAAATGCAGAAACCAGACTGCCTTGGTGTTTCAATACACAGGACACCAATATGTGCACATTAACTCAAACACTGGATTACACATTCTCCGGAACATTAACAAAAAATTGAAGTTTGAGAAACCACTGTTTCTCATCACAGGCTCAAACAAAAGGCAAAGATGGGCTAGACACCCAGTGTCAGGGCAGGAGGGCACGGAAATGCAGCCCAGTAGAGCACTTTGGGCTCCCACAAGACAGAGAATTCAATCCCTGAGAACAAGAGGAGTTTGGACTGAGTACAGAGAGCAGGGACAAGCTGCTGCTGGATTTCTGGAAACACCACAGAGAAAGAATGGGGCCAACTCAGAAGAAAGCTGGAGGCTCCACAAGCCCCTGGGACCACCTGGCAATTATTACCTGTGTCTCCACGGCAATGGGAATAAATCCAATTGGCCATTGGCTGCACCAGCGCTGCTGGCCATCACTGCTGTTAATTTTAATGAAGTGCAAAAATGGGAAATACTATTTTGTAGAAAAGAGGAATTTAAAAAGAAAGCTTGGACTTCTTTAAAGCTCTTATCTCGCACAGAAAGGTAAGAAGAGCTGTCTGAACTAATTTCTCTCGAATCAGCCCAGAGACTGAGTACTTACACAAAGGTGAAGCACACATTTATGCTCCTGAACAGAAGCCAGGCTAAATAAGCAGCTCTCATGCTTCTCCATTCCAGCTGGGAGTCTCACAGCTCTGCCTTCATCCTGGGCAGTCGCCTATCCTCGCAGCACCAGCAGTCGGTTCCTGAGTGAGATACCGGCACAGCTATGCTGAGCTGCAGGACACCAATTTTTTTGAAGTCTCCCTCCAGGGTGGAAGTCAGCTCTAAATCTCAGTGTCCCAGTTCCCATCACACTGCATGCTGACAGTTAAGCAGCTCTAGTGAGCATTACAATTAACGGGTCACGCACTGAGCTGGCTGATAAACCAGGCAGATGGAGCCTCACTAGAGGCTGAGCCGTGCTCAGGCTGGGGATAAGCCCAAGTTGTTCAGCACTTCTGGGCACATGCAGCCCTCTCACCACGCCTGCTCTCTGTGAAAACTCAAGCTCTTGCAGAAGGATTGAGGTGGACATTCAGTTCCTAAATCCAAGGTGGTTATTCCCATATGAGCTCCAAGATACTTAATTTTTCTAGTGTTTTATTCCTTTCCTGAGTCTGTGCCTGGCTGTACTCACCACATCATCCCACTTCTCCATCAGAGGACACAAAAAGTAGCCTTACTGCTATTCCCAAAGGGGAAGGGGCAGGAGGGTGAATTATCCAGGGAAACTGTCTGGGATTACCCAGGCAGCCTGTGATGCTGGAGGCACTTCTGTTGCCAGCTGGCACACTCGCTCTGTATCAGGTTTCCTCCTCAGGACAGGAGATTTTCTACTAGAAGCTAAGAGACTGACTCATAGGAACTGAACTTTCTAAGATAAACACATACAAAGTAAAAGCTAAAGAAGCATCCGGCCTCCAGGACAGCAAAGGGCCCCACCTCGTTTCCTGGTGCTGTGCCACCGACCTCCATAGGACAGCACCAGAGCAGAAACCTGCAGCAGACAGTCACTCAAAATAGCATTTGCATAAGATGTTACTTCATTTCCATCATTCTCGCTTCAGATTTTCTGCTATCTATGTCTCAGCATGCTAAAGACCTCCAACAGGGACTGTGCCTGCCCCATAGCAGTTTGGGCTCAAGCACCTACTAACCCTTTGCCAAAACGTTCAGACAGGTTACCTGGGAGGGCATGGACAAGCCACACATGGGAAGGCATTAATCTTAGGTCGCAGTCAGATGACCAGATTGCCACACGAGTAGGGCTGCAGTGACAAGCAGCACGCACCACAAATATCTCACAGCACACTGCTGGCCAGTTAAAGGGGAAGCATCCTAACAACTGACTTGTGTTTTTTTGGGTACTAAAGTTTCCTAAGCTAGTCAGTATGAGTGAGCCAAGGAGCTAACATGCTAATTTCCAAATCCTCCATGTCCTTTGGTGCTTTCCCACATGTGGGTGAGGGGAAGCAAGCAGGCAGGGCAGCCCTCCCGGCTCTGCTCAGCACAGAGCCACAGGTCCTCCGCAGCCTGCGAGACACAGTGTTCCTGCTGTTTTATGGACCACACTTAACACAACTGCAATCTGCTGCCTGAAGGTCTGGAGGGACTAAGAGAATATAATCTTTCCATTCCTTAAGTTGTTGTTAACCTCCTCCTTACTCACTGTCATCCACACGTGGTGATTCTTCCTCATCCATCGTGCTGCTCCAGCGCTTTGTGTTGGCCACACCATTGCCACTTCATCTCCCAATTTTCCCTTCTCCTGCCAATCATGCTGTGCTTTGCCTAACTGATCCCCTACCTCTCAGTCACCTTGCCCCATCAGCCCTTCTCAGGGTGATGGACCTACTACCACGTGCTGGCTAGCAGGCTCATGGGCGCTCCCTTCTCTTCCAGCTCCAAACATCAACAGCCCTCACCCTGCTACGGGCTGGTGCTGATGTTGAGCTGGGCAGTTTCTGGGACTGAGGACATCCTGCTGGCTCCACAGCAGGTGGAACTGGCCTGAGGTGAGAGTTTGGAGTGACTCTGCTCATCAAAGCAATGAGAACAGCTCTGCAGTACCACAAAAACGGCCTCACGCTTCCTCTTCCTAAACCGTGTGACGAAACCGCACATCCTAAACTAAAAGCAGAGCCACGCTGTGCTGAAGCAAGTTGGCTGGGCACAGCGCAGGCAGGAGGAGGCAAGGCCATTCTCTCCTCCCCGCCTTGGCGCGTGGTTGGCAACCAGCCCACGGAGAAGGCACTGCCGGCCCAGCTACAGCCTGCAGTGAGTTCACTCGCTTTAGTACCAGACTGGCAGCAGCATCTCCACACGCAAGCGCTACTGCCCATCTCGTCAGTGCCAGTGTCTCTCCTCAGTGAGAGCTCTCCTGATCAGATCACCTGAATGACTTACTCTGAGAGCAAATAACATGGCTTTAAGGTTGTTGGGTTTTTTTTGGTTTGAGGGGTTTTTGTTGCAAGTAGCAGATCTTAGTTGCCTTCGGTTGTATAAGTAGCAGCAATACAGCCAGATTTCAATGAAACAATCCTGTATTCATCTGGCCCTCCCACTCAAACACAATGAAAAATTTGGATAAACAATCTCTCCTTTGTCTGAATTTCAAAACCCACCTCATCCTCATCACACAGGGAGAGAAAAACAACTTACAGGGCAAGGATTTAGCTAAACTGCGGTAACAGCAGTATTCCTAAAGTTTCATCTGCAGGGCTGGCATCCAGGTCGGTGCTCACCCAGGGGTCGAGGCTGTTCAAAACTCACTCCAACATACGGGCTTGGCCAAGCAGCCCCTGCAGACCCCACACACAGATACAAGCCTCTTTGCAGTAAGACACACTCTTGTTTTCCATCGAGTATCATGCCAAGTTTTGTCAATTCAATATTGTCCCAGCTCACCCTTGCATTTGAGACAGCAATTTCTGCACTGTCTCCTTGGAGTCAGAGATGCAGCCAGTGAAGGACAAAGACATTACAAGATTTCTGCAATGCTCTAAGAGGGCTAAGAGGGTTTACAAAATTTGGAGTTGGGCCTGACTGCAGCTGCACAGATATGCTCAAGGAGCACAGATCCTCAGGTTTAACCCACAGCACCGATAATCCAGACACCACGGTCACTTACTCACTGAAGGTAGATTAGTGAGAACATTTGAACAGCAAGACCATTTTCAGCCAGTTCGTGGCTACTGGGTGGACTTGGATAAATTCACCCATCAGAGATGGTAGCTGAGCAGATTGTACCACTCGAGGAATTTTGTACCAAGGAGCAGAGAAGGCAACAAGCTTTTGGGACAACACAGCAAGATTGTGTGCTGGACTGCCAGCCTGCACGCAGAGCCCCAGCCCTTCTGAATGCTTCACCCTGCTTTAGGAGAGGACGGGCTCTGTGAAGATGCTCCCATCTCGGCACAGTTGCCAAGCAGGAGATGGACAGGGCTCGTATCTTGGCAGGGGCCTGTTTCGAGGTGATTCTCAAACCTGAGAAACAAACTGCAGTTTTTTTATGGGTCGCAAAGTAGCAGCCTCTAATTAGGAGTATAATTATGGTATTTGGAGGTCCCTGTATGTAGAAGTCCAGCAGCAGCCCTCCTGTGGGAGTTTTTAAGAGATTTTTCCCTTCACCTCTCTGGAGATGTTCTCCCTGGCTGAGCCCAGCAGCAAGCACATGGGCTCATGGCAGCTTCATGCTAGGAAAAGCGTGCAAATTCAGTGCGATTCTTCTGCTCACTGAAGGATCATTGCAACTGTGAGTCTCTCAAGGACAGACCTGTAAAATGCACATGCTTACCAAATAACATCTGGGGATGATCCACCATAACCTAAAAGGTATTTTGGATCTCTTTTTTGTTTTTAAACAAACAACCAAACAAAAGCCAAAACCCTTTTTGTTCCAGCATTCTCAGTGCTCTGGATGCATTTCAACATCTCCAACAAGGCCTTCGACCAGCACCGCTCTCCTGCAGAGCTCTGTGCCCAGCGGGAATGGCCGAGGAGGGAGCATGGCAGTGAGACTGCGTGGGCAGAGCCAAAATCCAGTTCTGCAGTGACTACAGCTCCACAAGACACCCTGAAGCCCAGAAACAAGAAGGGAGAAGTTTTTTTGGCATATGGGACTCAGGGATCTCAAGTGTTTTTGTGAATACCTTGGTTTGCCTTCCTCCCTCAGGTGCAAGGGCAAAGCTGACAGTCACGCAGAGCACGGGAGAGGTCTCTCCTGTCGGTAATGTGCTGCATATTACGGACAGAAGCTACACGGAAGCCCTGAAAGCTTGCAATTAGTTTTGTTAGTCATTTTCTCCTGGAGTATTTTTAAGGCAATTTATACCTGTGGAAATACAGGGCAGGTCTCCCCACCAGCTACCAGGCACCTAGGCCGGTTTTTCGCTCAAGCTAAACAGGAGCAACACAGGCCCACCAGCCTCACCCCGGAGCAGAGCAAACCCTTCCCTGTGCCACCGGGCATCGCTGCCAGCCCTGCCAGCAGGGACTGAGCGGGGGTTTGGATGGGGCACGGAGCTGCACAGACCCCAGTCCAGGACCGATGCTGGCTCGGGGTCTCAGCACCCACCGTGCACTGCCCAGCATAGCCAGGCCATGCCAGCTCTGCTAGGCCGCTCTGCCAAAAAGCTCAAGCTCCACTTTCTGAAAGCTTAAATCTCGGAGCTGTTTATTGCCCCTCCATGGCTAACAAACTGCTAAATGCAATCTACCAGCAGGCAAGCTCCCCTTGCTATCATGAAACAGATAAATGCATCATCGCATCCCTCCTCCTGGTCCCAGAGACTTTGCCAACACACCAGCCAGATTTACCCATGGACAGGTGCTGAGTTACGTGCTGGTATCCCACACACACTGTGCCAATTCAGAGCTGCACAGAGAAGCACTGAAACCTATTTCCATGTTATGCCATGCTTGGCGATGCAATTGCAGTGGGTTTTGCTTAGCTGATGAAAACACCACGATCCCATGACAGTCCCTGGCAGAGGTCCCCTTCAGAAACCTGCCTGGGAGCAGCGTGCACAGCAAAGGAGAGGCCCCTTCCAAAGGGGCTTAGCGTCTGCCCACCCGGTGCTTCACAGATGGCTCTCGGCACCTTCTACGATTACCATTTGTAAGGCGTTGATCGTTCCAGCATCTGAGTGCCCCCACTGCCAAAACCAGGGCCAAGGAACAGACATAAACAGGAGATGTTATTCACACTGGCAGGTCCCACTTGACAAGGCAGCCCGACTTTCTGCACAGGCTGCTGCTGCTCCCGAATCCTCTGCCAAACCAGCGTCAGGCAAATCACTACTCCGACCTGGCACGGAGATGACAAAAGCTTGGGAACTGACCCAATTTGGGCAGAGTCAAGCCCTGCTGGGGCAGCTGGACGGGGTCAGACATTTCTCCCCCACCTCAGGCAGAGCACGTGCTGCCCACAAAGGCACAAAGCCAACTCTGCCAAAACAATGTTCCTCATCCTCACTGGGAGCACTGGGCCAAGCGCCTCGGACAGCAGCTGGCTGGAGGCAGCTGGGTTTTATCAGCTTTGCTCTGGAGCGGTTGCTCTGCACGTGCCTCTGCCCACCTTGGACAAAAATGGTCAAGGATGCTCCACTGAAAAATCCCCACCCAAGCCAGTTGCAGCAGCAGCCTCCCCATCGGGTCAACTCTGCTGTGCCATAAGGAGCCAGAAGTGTTCACGTTTATCCTTCTTCCTCCTCTTCAGCTGGCTTTAAGTCATGGGAGGCGAATTCATTTTTAAGCAAGGTACAGTGAGAGCTCCTGTGGTATTTCTCAGCTAAGTCAGACCAAAGAGGAGCCCCTGCACAGGGAGAAAGGGGGAGTGAGCCTTGCTGAGCTAATGAAACGATGAAAACAAACTAATACAAACCCAGAGAACATCCTTGAAGGCAGATGAAAAACAGAAACAGAGCCAGGAAACAACTGTAAAATTGAATCAGCCTTTGGGCCACAACACACTCAGCGTACTGGTGGTCAGTAAGAAAGTTTCTGCAGGGAGTCTGGTCCAGACAACACCCCCAAGAGCATCCTGATCTCATCCCTCTGCCTTGGGGGGCTCCTCACATCAGACACAATGCCTGAAGGCTGACTAGGGGGAGACCCTCTGGCTGGGCCATTGGACAGGGTAAGATTTTTTTCATACCTACTGCTGGCAGCAAGGGCAAATCCTGTCCGACTGCCCTGCCTCAATACTTAGCAAAAACCGGACAAGAAACAACCTTAAAGCCCTGCCCACGTGGCATGTCTGCGTCACAGCTCTATGGGGCAGCAGGGAAGAAAAAGGAATTAGTGTTGCAACCTGCATTTGGGATGTGATATTTTGGCACCTCTGACACATCACGTTCCTGTGACTCCCTGACGGCTGTGAAGCAGGAGCAGTACTTACCCACAGCTGCCCCAGCCACTCAGGACTGGCAAAGGGCTTTCAGGTCCACAAGTGAAATGGAAAACTGAAATCTCAAGTGTTGCTCTTGGTGGCAGCAGTTGGGTGTCGAGGCACCAGCTCACTTCTGCTGTGCAACTGGCTCAATAAACCACAGTGTCCCCTCTAAAGACCTCAGCCTAACTTGTGTCCTGCTTTTCCAGATGGCAATCCTAAGGCTCTTAGCCTGTCATTAAATTCTGTGACCCAACAATTCATTCACAGGATGAGCGGACTTTGCCTGGTCTTGTATGGAGCTGCTGACTA